ATATATCGGTTCCAATGTTTAAGAGGACGGGCGCTCCCACTCTATTTAGCTACATATCCATGCGTTGGTTTCGGTTTATGCCGTCCATGATTGGCATTATCTGCTTTCACATACTGTGGCCACTCATGGGCTCCGGACCCGTGTTCAAGAAGTACGCCAACGAGCTAACTGAGCCCTGCAGTCGCAACTGGTGGACAAATATATTATTTATTAATAATTGGTTATTACTGCCGGATATGGTATGAGAAAAGTATTATTTATTTTTGGCTATTAATTTTATGTTGTATGATGATATAACAAATAAGCAAAAAAATCATTTTTCTATTATAATATCAATAACAAAAAATCTGGGATTGTATTAAACAAAATCATTTGTTTGATTAATGATTTGAATCGTGAAAGACATTTATATTTCACACAATCTCTTATTCACTGCAATCCATGCGAATATCTATTATGATTGCTATTATTACATATAATTTGGAAATTTATTTATTCGGGATCATTATTCACTTTTTATCAAAAGGCTAGTCCTATGTATCCAAAAAAGCGATTGTTTGGTTAAGTGTGAGAATAAAATTAAGTTATCTCTGTAAATTGCATTCAAAAACTCAATCATTAATTATAAGTTTGTCATCATTAATATTATGTGATAAAAGCCCTCTCATAGACTGTCTGTCCCCTATAATGTCCTGTTCTGTCATTCAATCATACATTTGGTGTGTTTTGTGAATATATTCATCAAAAAACATTTATATTATTTTTATTTCATGTGATAATTGTTTTTTATTTAAATTGCGATTTTTTTGTGACATATTTTTTGAATCTATATATTCGTGTGTTTTTAGAGCTATTGATAACAGACTTTTAAAATTAATTTATCAGAAAATGTAGCATTTTTTGCTATGAATTAAGTGGTCATAAAAATATAATTAATTGATTATAAGATTTTGATAGCACTAATAATATTTATCAAATCAAATTTAATTAATATCTTTTTAAATTTTAAATGCTTTTAGTGCACTATTTTTATTAGTTTTACAAAATAATCTGAAATATATTTAAATGATAATAAATTTATTGAATTCAAACTAGCATTGTCACATTTGAAATTGATTTATAGTGAAATGTCACGAACATTTTTGTCTGATTGTTCTGGGTCATAAACATATTCATGCTTTGAAAGTGTTTCTCTGAGAAAAAGTAAATAAAAACTTTCAAAATTAAAATAGACTGTGATTCACCCAAGCACATATTTATTTTAAAAATTAGCTTTTGATATACAGTACATATGTAGTTTAGTGTACATAGTAGTATGTAGTTAAATGCACAATAATTCCCATTTACTAACAAGTAAACTGTATTAAATTATTTGACATAAAAAATAACATCAATATAAGGATTGTTTAAATTTAATTATTAAATAAAATACAGTTCTATACTAAATTAAAATATTTCTAAAACTATAAATATTTATAAAATATAATTTAGTATAAATATTACTATTTTTTAATTTGTAATAAAACCAACCTAATAGCTAAGAATTAAATAATTTTTGAATTGAGAGATTAAAATTTAGACATAGATTATATTATTCAAACAAAAATATGAACAACTAATATTGAAACTTATAAGCTAAATTATAAGCATAGATTTTAGCATGTGCAAATATAATTTACCATTATAAATTAAACATGTTTATATGAATTCCCATAGTGTTTAGTCCACACGTGGTTTATGAGCGCCGACTTCCAGCTCCACATACTATCCTTTTTCGCGATACTGGCCTTAAGTAAGACCTGGAGCCGAGGTTTCGGTGTAGTCCTATGCACTTCACTCATACTATGCGGGATCGCCATCCCCTCCCTCGTCAACTACAAGACAAACGGTCCGCCAATGCCTATGCCTTTCGAGGAACCGGATTTGGATCAGTTCTACAGAGACCTCAACACCC